ATAAGGTTTCTCTCCACTGTGAATTCGTTCATGGATTTTAATGTAGCTGGTAGAACTAAAGGCTTTTCCACAGTGCTTACACACATGGGGTTTCTCTCCTGTGTGAGTTCTTTTATGCTTCTGAAAACGTTGGGGATCATGTAAGGCTTTCCCATGTTCCTTATATTTATATGGCTTCTTTCCATGTTCGAGATACTCTTGTGCTTTGTGTCCAGTGTGAACTGTTAGGGGCACAGCTAGGGATGGATCAGCAATGAGGACATCTCCACACACATGGTGTTCACTAGGTTTTACTCCAGAAGAACTTCTCTTGTTTATGTGAGGATCTATGATCTGGCTGATGATTTTTCCACATTGACTATCTTCTTTCTGTTCACAGAGTCTCTCTAACACTTGACTTCTGCAAAGAATGAAAAGCACAATACGAATGATTTGTTTATTAATGATTTACCAGAAGAATTGGTTTTATTCTGTGTAATCTTTATTACTGAGCTACGTTAGTTTTTTTTAAGAATTTTTTTTTTCAGATAAGTTCTCAGGAAGTTGCTCATGCCTCACTAAAGTGTTGAGGCTGGCCTCCCTCTTATGATCTCCTGCCATATATTTCCAAGTTGCTAGGATTATGGGTGTGCACTACCACCCAGCTCCGTTTTCTTAATACCTCTTTTCCAAGTATTTTGTTAACTTTGAAGATGTTTATCGAATGTAGTTACAATTAAGCACTACTTATATGAAATGCATAAAACAAAATTCAGATTGGATATTGTGATATTTGCATATACATAGAAAGATATCTTCAAAATGGGTCCCATTTGAGGCCAATTTCATACATTTCTAATAATTTGTATATGGAACAGACTTTGTATATAATAAACTATTAGAAAGTGTCACTTATGATATCAAGTCAGTGTTCTAGATGGTGCCTATTCTGGAACATAATGGATTTTGAGTTTTCTAATTATGGATGCTCAACCTGTATGCACTGTTTAAGAAAACAGAGATAAAATCAACTTGAACCTTGGCATATATCATTTCCTTCTTTTCATGATTTTTTATAAGTTATTCCAAGATTTGTGAGGGATACTGCCTTCTCTAGTGAGTTCAATTACCTTAGATTTCCCTTGGAATTGTAGTGATCATCGATGGCCTGATTTTTCCATTGTTTTCCTAAAATGCAGACCCAGAAACATCATTATGACTCATTTCAACATTGCATAAAAGCTATTAGAGTCTTGCTGATCTGATGTATACTGTCACCATGCCAGTATATTCACCAAAATATGAGCTTTCCATTTTCTAGATCATGGAACAGAACTGATAAGCAAGTGATACCTGTTCTCTGATGGACTTAGTGAGGAAACTATGTCACCCTTACCTATAATGGTCAGGTTCCAGAAGGTTTCCTGCATCACATCTCTGAAGAGCTTCTTCTGGGAAGGATCCAGCAGAGCCCACTCCTCCAGGGTGAAGTTCACAGCCACATCCTCAAAGGTCACTGGCTCCTGAAATATCCCACAGGTATTCCCAGGAGGAAGGTGAGACACAGAGCACTGGAGACCTGCACTCACTTTGTGAGAATTTCATATGATAGTATGTCCTCCCAATACTCCATCTTACTCTCCAGCAAGGCTCACATCCTCTCACACTGAAATTCTGATGCTGGATCGCATCTACTGGTAGAGAAAAAGGGAGAACAGGAACACTGGCTGTGCTGCTGGGTCTCTCCCATTCTCTCTGTATGTGGGTCTCTAGCACTTCTCACAACAAAGTCCAACTATGTACTGTACTTAATAGTAGCTGTTCTGAGACAGCATATTCTTAGAAATGCTTGAGAAAAAACTTTGTTGGTATCTGGGAACTACTGTTGGAATGGACCTAAGTAGGTTAACTGCAAGGAGGGAACTGGGATTCTCAAGCAGGTTGTCCCAACAAAATGCGGACTGTTAAAGTCCTGTTGGTCCTCTATGTGTTTACAACGTTCTGACATGCTCGTCACAGGGTGCCTATCTCATCAGCCTCCCAAATACACTCTGGGTGATGAATCTCTAGTAAACTGGTCTGTTAGATCAGATCTAAAACCTTTTTTACAACTCCTTATTTAGGGAATTCAGTACATCCTTTGGGATTGCACTAAGGGACCAGCACTGGAAGCCTGTATGTTAGTTCCTGTATGTCAACCAGAATAAAAATAAATAAGATTCATGAAGGATAATTCATGAATAGGTAATCATTAACAATTTTCTTGTAGAATGTCAAAACCTAATACAATAAGGTAAAAAGAGGTACATGTCCTTAGAAAGATTCAGTGTCATCGAGATGTCACCTCTCACATGGACCTATAAAATTGCAAAATACCAATAACAAAACCTTTTCCTAAGAAAGCAAAAAGTAACGTATGCCAGGTGTAGTGACACATGCCTATAATCCCAGTGACTTAGACTTAGTGAGACCCTGTCTCAAAATTGTAAAAAAATAAGTAAAATAGATAGATTTTTAAAAAGGGATAGTGATATAGCTCAGTGCATTAGGGCCTCCGTCATCATTCCACAAAATAAAAGGACGAAAAAAAAAGGAAGAAAAGAATGAATGAAGGGAGGAAACAAAAGAAAAAAATAGTTTATAAATCTTCTAGGCATAATAAATATCTAACAATATTTAAACTCATTGGAATAATAAAGTGATCAATTGACTAATAAACACAAAACATTTTGAAGTCACACTATTTGGAAAAGTACACTATTAACAAAAAGATTAACAAATGATGAAAAAGAAAAGAGCACTCATGTGCCCATATGTGAACAGAAAACTGATTCATGACACAGCAGCATTGAACAACTGTGGGAGACACTCCAATCTTTCTAATAACCAAGACAGGGACCAAAAGGTATCTATTTACCTGGACATGCCATGTATTCCTCTCTATTCCAAGCATGAAATTCAAACCACACATTGAAACCATAATACAATACTGGAATAATTTGAGAAACCACAAATACCTTTTTTTTAAAACTTTATTTAGTTGTCAATGGATCTTTATTTTGCTTTTCATTTATATGCGGTGCTGAGAATCAAACCCAGTGCCTCACACATGAAACCCAGTGCCTCACACATGTCGGGCAAGTGCTGCTCTATCACGGAGCTACAACCCCAACCCATACAAATAGCTTTTAAGGGCTGAGGATATAGCTCAGTTGGTAGAGTGCTTGCCTCACATACACTAGGCCCTGGGTTCAAATTTCTAGCATCACAAAAAAAAAAACAGTTAAACAAATACAAATACCTTTAAACATAGAAAATAGTGTATCCTAATTAAAAAATAATAATAATAATTTCTAAAAAATAAGTGGAGCGATTTAAATCTATGAAAGTAGAGGAAAGCAAAAAGCAAACAACAAAGTTCAAAAATTTTTGCAATACATGGCATGAAAAAGTACTAGTGTGCTCTAAGGCATCATGGCATACACCTGTAATCACAGTTACATGGGAGGCTGAGGCAAGAGGATCCCAAGTTCCAGGGAAGCCTGGGTAACTAAGGGAGACCCTGATGAAAAAGGACTTGGCTGGAGGCATAGGCTAGTCTTAGAGCAGTTGCCTAGCAATGTGCAAGGCCTTGGGTTCAAACCCTACTACCCACCGACACAAACACACACATGATTAATATGCAGAACAAAAATTAATGAATACATGATTAAAGACACACTAAACATTTTAACTCAATGTAAAACATCATAAAGAGATCTGTGTCCATGTGTGAGGAAAAAGCCAAATAAATATAATTACTGAAGATCCTAGTGAAACAACAAAGGTTTATACTAAATAGAGGATAAAATGATGCACTCCACTAACACTATAGTTTCAATTTTACCATCAACTTCAAACCAGGAGCTGAAATCAAATTTAACCCCATCAAATATTTCTGCTCAAACACTGAAAGAAGAGACTATGACTCATATAGATACCCATTACACTCTTCAAATGTTCATATATCTATAACAACAACAAAAATCTAAGAATAATGAAGAGGCAGGTGAGGGGGAACATGCTTGTAATCATAAGCACTTGGGAATCTGAGGCAGGATAATATTTTTTAAATTATTATTTTTTTTTAATTGCAAGTTGAAAGCCAGCCTCAGTAACTTGGGAGGCTCTAAGCAACTGAGCAAGTTCCTGTCTCTAAATAAAACATACAAAAAAAAAAAAAAAAAGGCCAGGTGCAGTAGAACACACCTATAATCCTAGTGGCTTGAAAACCTGAGACAGGAAGATTGCAAGTTCAAAACCAGCTTCAACAAAGCAACTCGGTGAGACCCTGTCTCTAAATAAAATACAAAATAGGGCTGGGGATGTGGCTCAGTGGTTGAGTGCCCTTGAGTTCAATCCCTGGTATCAAGAAAGAAAAAGAAAGAAAGAAAAAAGACTAGGGATGTTGCCCAGTGGTTAAATGCCCCTGGGTTCAGTCCCCAGTATAATAATAGTAATAAAGAAGAGGGAAATAGGGCTTATTAATAGGAAAAAAATAGAGAAAAGCCATTTCTGAGAAAATTCAGAATTTGAACTTAGTCAACAAAGACATTCACTAGGCAAGGTGGTACACTCCTGTAATCCCACTGAATCAGTAGGTTAAGGCAGAAGGCAACTCAGCAAGACCCTAACGCTAAACAAAAAGTAAAAAAGGGCTGGAGATATAGCTATGTGATAAAGTTTTAATCCTCTCTACTACCGAACAAAAAAGCAACCAACCAAACAAAAAAACAACACATAATAATTTGCAGGTTCCCATTGTAACAACATATATGAAACCATCACTATAGGTGTTCCAGAGCATCCTGTAGCAAGGAGAACAAAGAATCAACTAAGATGAAGTTAGATGACTGAAATTATACAGTCTAGAGGAGGAAAAGAATAAAAAATAAAACTCAGAGACTTTTCACCAGTGTATCTCCTCAGTGTGCCTTATGAAAATAAGTCCTCTAGAGAGAAGCAAGAAGATACAGGAACAGTGATCACATAAAGTAAAACAAACAGAAAGTACTTACAAATATGCCATGTTTTAATCCAACTACATCAATAATCACTTTAAATGTAAATGTTCTGCAGACAGGCTGGCAGAAAACAACACCCAACCCTGTGTATTTTATGAGGGGAAAAAAAAAAGCAGTTTTTAACTATCAAGAAATCAGGTCGAGAGTCAAAACTTCAGTTACAGGAGAAATAAATTTAAGAAATATGTTATGATGTCTAGAGGTAAGATCATTGGATTGTACTCTGAGAAATCATTAGAGAATTATGTTTAAAGTGCTCTCATTCCACAAAAGATATGTATGTGAAGCAATGTATTTGGTAATTAACTCAATCATCTTGGGTTACCTCTGCTACCACCACCACCATCTTTAATTCAGGCAGCTTCCACCTTGGGACACCAATCTGGGCCTGGAAGCCCAACATCAAGGTACCTATAGTCTCCCAATCTCCAACCCCCAAGTGCTTGCAGCTATATGGTGGGCCCATCTCTCTCAATGCCTGGTCCTGATCTGCCTGCTCTCCATGACAGGCACAAAGGCCCCAGTGCTCAGCCCTCAGCACCTCTAGAGAGAAAAGTTCTTGATTGGGAAGTAGAAAGGGAGGGAGGGAGGGAGACACAGTTAAGAGACTAAATTAGAGACCAAGAATTGTGGGGTCCACAAGCAATATAAGGGCCTAAAACCAGGCTCCCACATACCATGGGTGGACCCCAAAGGAGATTCCTGAGGTGCATTCCAACAGAGACTGACAATTGCTATACCCCTCATCCAGGAGTTCCACCTCTAGAAAGAAAAGTCCTTTCTGCCACCCACTGAGGGTCTGCAGACCTCACAGCGGGGCTTCCCCGCTTTGCGGTTCTCTTAAATGCAGCTGCGCCTCCCTCGATCCGCATTTTCTAAACCAACGTCCAGCGGCGCTGATTTCCAGTCAGGGGCCCCGGCAGAGGGTCTACAGACCTGTCCGCCTCCTGCCCCCACAAGCCCCGGGCTGAGGGTCAGTCGCGGATTCGGGAACCGGCTTCCCCAGTTTTGCAGACTTGGAGGAACCGGGGGACCGAGGAGCAGGGGGCTGGGACGCGCACACCTCCCTCCCAGGCCCCGCCTCACCCGGCGGGACTCTCCCCGCGACCCTCCCGCCGCCACCGCAGAGGGGAGAAGCCGGGCTGCGGGGCCGCGCTGCCCACAGACCGCTCCGGCCGGCAAAGCGCCGCGCAGGACCCGGGGCCCGGCCGGACTCCGACCGCAGTCGCCGCAGCTGCCGCCGGAGGCCCGGGTCCCTCCACAGCGACTCATCTGTCCCCTTCACCGCGACCCGCTCCCCTTGCGGGAACGGCGCCCTCCACACTCACCATTGCCCGCCTTCTGGGGTTCCCGGGGTCGCCTCAGACTGTAGAACGGAGATGTCACAGCGAGGAGGCTGAGCCACTTCGAAGTTCTCTTCCCAACACATGCGACACACCTACTATGGTGGCTCCAGGAAGGAAGCTGTTCAAAAGTGGAAGGTTTCCGCCCTCTTCCAGCTGCGCTCCTGATTGGACAGATCCTGTGCCCCCCCCACATCTCCCGTCTCTGATTGGCTAGTGTTCCAGGACCCGCCCCCGAACCCTGAGTGACAGCAAAAGAAAATCTCCCTCCTGGCTGAATGGAACCCAAGAGGTGGTTTCCAGCTGCAGCCCTTCCCAGCCTGAGCTTCTTCCCAGGGCCTGGATCTGAGCTAACGGGAGGGATAATTGCATGGATCCATTTAGGTCCACCCTCCCAGGTCTGGAAACACCTATAAAAGATAAATATAGTATACAATATGTAATATAATTTTATAAAAGACCTTTTTAAATATAACTATGAGATTAATATTGTTAATATTAATTGTTATAAGAGATGATTAATTTCCTTTCAATTCACTGTAGAATTGAAAATTTGGGATTTAATCAGTTAAACAAAATTCAATCCTGGCCTTTCAGAACTGGTGTTGTCTTCTCACTATATCCAGTGGGCACTTTCTGTTTCTTGCCCCTGTAATTGAGGTAACAAGTGTACTCAGGCAGTGCCAGAAGCAGTGTCCATGGAGACAACACCTCATGTCAGAAAAGGACACGTCACCAGGTGCAGTGGCATAGGGTTTTAATCCCCGAAGCTCAGGGGGCTGAGGCAGGAGGATCACAAGTTCAATGCCAGTCTCAGTAGCTTAGCAATAAGCAATTTAAAAATAAAAATAGAAAAAAAGGGCTGGACAGATGGCTCAGTGGTGGAAAGCCCCTATGTTCAATCCCCAGTATCAAAAAAGAAAAAAAAAAATCTACCCAGGCTGCCAAGACATAAACAGAAGGGAGAGTGAGGCAACACCTCATATTGTCAGAGGTCGGGCATTTTGGATGAGACAACTGGCTTCGTAGCCAAGGCTTTCTTATGCCTTTGCTATCTACCCATTTTCATCTAAGAAAATAAAAACATACCTACAAGGGAGTACAGTTATTTAATTCAGGGAAGCAGTGGAGTTATACGGAAGCAGCATTTTACAAAGGAATCAAGAAGGAAAAAAATGGAAACATTTGAACTCAGAAACCAGCCTGCTCCAAAGAAGGCTGTAAGAAAAACTTAGATTCAGACAATTAAACATATTCCCAAGCTTGAGGGCCGGAATGACATCTTGCTGAATCCAAGTTTTCAGAGAGCGACACTCCTATGTGCTGAGGCAGGACAGCTAAGGATTTCACTCTGGAAGTCACCATTCTCAGATGTCCCTTCCTTATCGTATGGAAACTCTCCATCCTTCAAAATAGTTTTATTAGCCACCATAGGCACTGTCACCTTGAGTCACTTTCATGTTCTGACCTAACCAAACCATCATAAACCCTTTCTCCAGGAGATCTTTAAATTTTGTCCTTAATCCTAGTCTTCATACATTTCCTTCACAGACACAAGTTACAGAACAACTCCAGCAAGCTACACATCCCAGATCACTGTCTCAAAAGCAGCCACAGTGAAACAAGAGTCTCTGGTGTAGGAAAGCCCAATGACCTTGATCCAGTATCATCTTGATCTGGAGTATCTGTCCCCCAGAAGAGACCCATTTTACCAGGAGAAGAAGAAGATCAGGGCCAATAATAGGAGAAATACAGCAACCAAAAGTCCTAATCATGGTAACAGGCAGGTGAAGTTAGGCAGGGAAGCTGCTTTGTTTCCCCTAGAGCCCAGAACTGGAGAAGCAGTTGTAAGCCAGGTATCACTTTGTAAAATCTTATCAGCACTAGTCTCCGTGTGTCCAGAATGGCTGACATGAAAACAGCAGGTAATGGTTGCCAGACCCCAAGTCCACCTTCCTGAGCCAACAAATAATCTGATCTTATTTTCTATCACTATTTGGGCTAATGAATCCAAGGATTTGGTAGCAATTTAAAGTCTTGCCCAGTTTTGATGGCAGTGTCTCCCGTGGTTTCTTTCTTTTTTTTTTTAATATTTATTTATTTTTTTTTAGTTCTCGGCGGACACAACATCTTTGTTGGTATGTGGTGCTGGGGATCGAACCCGGGCCGCACGCATGCCAGGCGAGCGCGCTACCGCTTGAGCCACATCCCCAGCCCCTCTCCCGTGGTTTCTGATGTGTCGGTCACTGCATTGCTGGTCATTCCTCTCACCAATCCAGAAGGTGATCCAATTCAGGCGATTCCCCCAGCTACTGTTAGACCTGGACCTCTCTTCTCTGGTGCCCGGGTTACATAGAGATGGTGTATCCAGGGTCATTAGTGAAAGCTTGTATCTTTCTGCTGAAGTGACAATACATCCTACTCCCCATGTTTGAGTCACTTCTTTCCAAAGATGTGCTGTAAAGTCTGCTTCTTAGAATCCTAGATGTTTTTCTCTTCACACACACAAAAAAAGGCATTCCCCTAATACGTACAGAATTCAGGGTTCATGACCAGCATCTCTGGTGGTGACTCATGCCATTAACTCCTAGCAGCTTGGGAGGCTGGGTAGGAGTTCAGGGCTAGGCTCAGCAATTAGTGAGTCATGGGATGAAAATGAAAAATTGTGTATGTAGCTCAGTGGAAAAGTGCCCCTGGGCTAAGCTGCCAGTAAGGGAAAAAAGAAAAGAAAGAAAGGAAGAAAAGAAAAGTAAAGAAAAAACTGAGATCAACATCTACTTTATCTTTAGGAGCTTATGAGGTGTCACTAGTGCATTTGCTTGATCAGGAAAAAGTCCTCTTTGTAAGAAGGACCTCAATACTCTTTGGCAATGATGGCAAATCTCCCCTGTGCTTTTATAGCTGAGGGAGTGGGAAACAGGTACACTCAGAAAAGCCAATTGTGTTATATAATGATGACTTAGGGGGGTGTTGGGGCAGTTTGACCAAGATTCAGGAGGAATCTACAACTTTACCACAGGGAAAGAAGGTACAAGAGGCATTTAATACCATGTGAATGAAGGCAGATTTTGAAGGTTCACGTCTGGGTATCTGAAATTGTTGAAATTGTACTCAGCGACAATAATTCACCAGGTCCTGGGCAAAGGCTAAAAAGCCCACGGAGTGGTGAGCTTTAATTCTTGGGTTTGGAAAGGTGGCATTAGCCACCAAATGTAGATTTAGAATCATGTTACTCTCCTTTGCCCAAATACCCTCTAATATTGGATTGGTGTCTCCCCACAGAGTGAACTGATGATGGCAAATCTAATGTTAGGAAGAAAGATGTTGTCTCTTGCTGTGTTTAAAGTGAAGAGGGTTACCCTGCCAGGAATGAGAAAGTGCAGGGCGGGGAGGAACAAGAGAAGCACATTTATGTGTACATGCTGCCATCTGGCGGCTCCTTCTGGTCTATGCATGGCTTTACCGCAGCTGGGGCAGGCAGCCACAGGGGAGGAATAAGAGGACTGAAATGCCAAGAGAAAACCAATCCCCAGCCAGGGGTGTGTTCCTCATGGAAGGGAGTAATCCCAACAGCCAAAAGGACAAGTCCCACTAGAGCAGAGAGGAGCAAGATTCCTAGTAGGTAGTACAGAGCTTACACAGGACCCTGCTTCTTCTGAAAAGGACCCATCATCTCCCAGAGGCTCACGTGAACACACCTCCTTTTTCTCTTTTCCTGGTGGCAAGCAGTCCTGTAAACCTCAGGAGGGACAGATTTTGTCCTTGGAAAGTGGGCCCATCATGTCTGGCCCTGGAATCTGAACACCCTCACGGTGTCTAGGACCTAGCAGGAGTCCTCCCATCTAGGGAGTAACAGTTGGCGTGTGAGTTTTCTTTCCAAGTTCTTAGAAGAACGGAGTCAGCCAGGTGGTGGCACACACCTCTAATCCCAGCCAATCAGGGGCAGAAGCAGGAGGACCACCAGGTGGTGGCCAGGCTAGCAATTTAGCGAGACCCTGACTGTAAAGAAATAAAAGGGCCGAGGTTGTAGCTCAGTGGTGAAATGCTCCTGGATTTGATCCCCTGAGCCATATAGAAGAACAAGGTCACCTGGGTGAATTTGTGGAGCAGTTGTGGGCTGGAGTCGGGAGCTGGGAGGACTTGACTTCTGAACTCCAAAGGGCCTTTGGCCCCTGTTCCAAATTGATTACCTATACGATCACCTCTTGTATCTTAGGGTCAGTGACAAGTTCTGAGATCACAAAGGGTCTCCCCTACAGTATTTCACAGTGGCTCAGTTTGAAGTTTTGGGGTGACTCTGATTCTTCACAGGCCCGCCTATAGGCCAAGGCTGTCACTAGGGTTTGGGGATTTTTTTTTTTTTTGCACAATTTTACCAAGGTGCTTTTAATCCATTGATTGTCCCTTTCCACTTCGTCTGACAATTGAGTGAGCCGTGGGGTGTAAAGATGTAAGTGGTGCCCAATACCCACGAGGCCTCATGTGTCACTTTGGAGACTGAGGCCCCAGAATCACTCTGGAGTGACCTGGGGATTCAAACTGAGGGATGGTTTCCTTTCGTAGAGCCTTAGTGACCTGTTGGGTGGGATATACTGCTATCCACCTAGAAAAGGTGTCACCAAAACCCAGAAGGTGTTTATATCCTTGCCATGGGGGAAGGGATCTGGAAGAAGTCTACCTGCCAGTAATCCCTGGGGAATCACCCCATTACTACAGAAGGTTAGGTAAAGGGGGATGTTTGGCTGCCCACACCCCCACCTGGAGGCCCTTTCTCAGGTGTGGGGCCAACTCTTGTGACCTCTCAGTAGCAGACATGAAGTCTTTCCCTGCAGAGGCTGAGTGCCAAAGTCATCAGAGCCTCCCTCCCTAAGTGGCCCAAGTCCTGGTTTCCTTTAATAACTTCCCACTGGTCAGGCAGTCATGTTTTATGACCTCCCTGTTACTCCACTAGCTGTCTTCTGCTGCTTCTGCCCCATTGTTTAACCATTTCCTCAACCAACTTGTCCC